GGGGGGGGGGGGGGGGGGGGGGGGGAGTTTGCGGCTGAAACAAGAAATAACAATGCAATGCTAGGTTTACATAAGGCTGAAAATAAGAGCTTAGTATCCAGCCGGTTTTCATGGCAATCACTGCAAAAACTTTCAACACACATCCTTCGAATGCAGTGGTATTACCTCAAACGGGTAGTCGTCGGGTGATTGCATGTGCTTGATCTTGAAATATATACGTCACGATTTTTCCTGAATGTTTCGTTCATATTTCTTGTCGGTCCTAGGATTCGATTCCATTCTATTTCGCGGATTGTCTGTTGTCAGCATTTGGCGTTTTCCGCTCACTTTCCGTTCTTGCGCTTGAACCCGATCCCTTCTCGAGTTTTTCTCGGTAACTTCCTTCTAACTCTTTCTTTCTCGTTTCTTTTTTCACTTTCTTCTTTTTTTTTTGTCCTACCTTGGAGACGATGACGAAGACCCACGTCATCGAGCTGCGCGTCCGGTTCATGAGCGCGTTCGGCGTCCCGCCCCTGAGAGAGACACAACACAAACAACAACAATGGTACAGCAGTGCACGAAAAAAAAAGTACAGTGGCTGAAACATGGCAAAGGTACAGACCGGACAACAGGGACGGTACCACGAGCAGCCAAATAAACCGGGACAACCGTGGTTTGCTACCATACCACACACCCCTCGACCGATATTCAAAGCTCGATTACTCCACGACGAAGAGGATGCCGACATCAAAGGATATGTTTTCGGAGAGCTCTCGACGAGACGGTCCCGACGTCGCCATTTTCCACGTCACTGCTTGTCCTGCTGAGAAATCGAGCTTCGAAAATCGGTCCAGGGGGTGTGATATCTTGTGCAACCTACGGTATTCAACCAAAACTACACACGGCCCCCACTGTGCAGCCCATGCCCGCGAGCACCTGTCTGAGCGGTCCCAACAGAGAAGACGATTTTTCATTCCACCGAGCGATGGAAGACGGAAGAGCGAACACCAACAGGGTGCCTACCGCATCCTTCCTCCGGTCCGTCAGATAAGCTCACTTAGCTCCTACACAAATCAACATCTCCCCCCGTTGTATCCAACAGTCGTCCTCTCCAAATATGATCAACCGGACGTGCTGGTTATGTGGTATCTTGCGTACCCCTGTGTGCTGACGGTGGTTCTGTTTCGTTCTCATTTTGACCCGCATCAATGCTCCCACCCGGTGTGGTACTTGCGTTGTGAGGGGGTGTTATCTCGTGTAATACACGACCGACGGCCGCGATAGCTATCATTTTGTCTCACTTGGGCCAGAAGTAGGGCTTGAGAACCCTGGCGAGCTGCATGATGGTCAGTGCCTTGGGCCCGTTGTCCTCCTCGATCTCTTCCGCCAGCTCCGCGCCGTCGAGCTCATCTTCTTGGCCAGCCCGTAGCTTCTCGTAGAAAGATCTGTCGAGAGGCGAGGGGAAGCGTCGGCACAGCAGTGTCACCATTGAGAACTTCGAGAACTGTGGTTGAAACCGCCGTTGAATACGTTGAAAACCGTGGTTGAAACCGTCATTGAAAAACCGTCGCTGAAAATAGTCTTCAAAATAGTTGTCGAGAACCGTCGTTGAGTTGGTTGAAACCGTCCATGATACCGTTGAATTTTGTTCACTGAAATCTTCATTGAAAACCGTGGTTGAATATCGAACGGACCCTCTGTCACGTTCTTCTAGGTAAACCCGCATAGACTATAGGCCCGCGGGAAGACTTTGATGATGGATACATGCAGGCATCCTGACAGCGGATAATATTCGCCGACCCCCCGCAATCCCCTCACGCACCCTCTGGCGAGGCGGTTGAAAGTTGTTGGACGCGTGGACGCTCCGGTCGCTGGAAGAGAACGAGGAAATTAGTTCGTTCAATGACTTTTTACGTTAGCATATGCTTCGGAGTATTGTACTTGGAAGAAATCTCTTTCCTTTTCTCGACGTCTGGCGTGTGTCGCCAACACGTCCCTTTCTAACCCGCCGCAGCGACATGCTCAAGATCTGTGCGGATAGGCCTGTACTCCGTAGGCGAGTTTCTTCGCCATTTAGATACACTAACTTGTCCTCCGCTCTATTTTCAGTATAATAACAAAATTCGACATCGAAAAAATCAGGCAATCGCCTACGGAGTACAGGCCTATGTGCGAAGCGATGCTGCTTGGCTCCGTGGTGAAAAATTGTGGCTGTGATCTGCGCGACACATGATTGATTGTTCCCCGCGCCCTGGCGGAAGTATATGCTCCAGCGAAAAAGAACCGATGAGGTCAGATTGTGGAGGAGTTATGCCCTGCGATACTGCTGGAACTTCACCACATACTGCAGGCGGGGGGCGGTGCCTCCTGGTCCGTGTGATGACAAAACATCTCAGAGACTTTTGACAACCGCGACCTCACACTGCCGCGAAAAAAACAAACACCTTAGAGGCAGTTTTTGCGCGCCAACTGACACCCTTGTGTGTGGAGGCGTTTCCGTCTACGCCTGTACACACCACAAGCAATGCCTGTAAAGTCAATAGAGCATTTCCATACTCAACACCAGGGAGAGATAAAATACCCGTTGTATGCACGTGATAGACCAAACTCATACCCTTTTCCTTCTACCACCATTCGCTTTGCTGTAAGCCTATCGGCACTATCTCCCCAGAACACGATACAGCCCTACTGTAGAAATGTTTTTTGTGTGTGGCGTTTCGTGACGTCACGGGAAATATTAACTACGAAGCAGATTTGCTGTGTGTGAACGCTGATTGGATACCCATGGGGCGCCCCATGGGTGCCTATGGGCGGCATTAGGAAAAAGCACTATGCGAATGGTGATGCAATTTCCACCGGGAGTACATGTTGTTTGTGTGGGTTTTGATTTTTTTTTGTTCGGGGAATTTTATATTTTCCTGGTTTTGGCAGAGGACATGTCACGATGAAAAAACAAAAAGAGGCACAATCGTTCCGATTATCTTTCCTGGTCTACTTCCTCCGTTAGCCCGGCGTCACCCAGGTCATCATCGCCCCGGCCCGCTCGCAGCTTTCGGAAGAGATACCTACGAAAGTCGGGTGGAATTTACGGCGTACGTCCAGAGGAAAAAATAAATAAAACGTCAGACGCCACGAGAAATAGAGACAAAACACCCCGGAGGAACGCGATGCTAGTACCGGGTCATACCGGATAGAAGAAAACAAGTGCTTTTGTCGGCGTTCCGCTTTTCCCCGGGTTGAACTAGGGAACTTTTTTTAAGGCCCTTTTCGGCAACATCGCCATCCGGAACGCATGGGACGGAAAACAGAAAAATGTGCTGTAGCGCTTCCCGTGTTTTCGTGGTATACCGTGGTATGACAGCGTCACCAGGATGAATACATGTAGCCCTCGAAAGAAACGGAGCAAGGCAAGGGATGCTGAAGAGACTGACTCTGACAAGATGCCGGTATACACAGGAGCAACCGCGAGTGTCACGGAAGGGCCGCAACCACGGCGGCAGCACCCCATTTTCTCTGGCTTGGTTGCCTCACGCATGTAACAAGATCTTCATATTTTCGTCTGAGTTTCACGGGGCTTTAAAGAGCGCATGTAACAAGATCTTGATGTCTTCGTCTATGTTTCAGGGGGCTATAGAGAGGCCGGGCGGGAGGACTACTGAGCAATCAGACACGCGTACCGACGTGCTATTCGGTTCGGCACTATTGACTACGGTCAGGTGGAATGAGCGATTTGTCCTTAATGTGTTTCTTTGTTATTCAGTCTACCATGACAACGTAAAAAAAGAAAAAAATGCGATGGGTCCTGTGCATAGGAGTGGTGAAAACAACAAAGAAAAAAGCAGGTACCAGGTCATCCTTGTCGCGAGAGTGCAAGCGTCATCGAACGAACGTCCAACAGCAGCGAAAAAAAAAAAAAAAAGGCTCATTGGGCGACGAGGAAATGGTCGAGGGAGCAGCAATAGGCCTCCATATGGAGTCAGTCCCCCTCGACAAGAAAAAGTTTCTCGCGCAGCTCCCTTACAGGTAAATAGTTGCAGCAGTATACGTGAATGGCCCCATCCTCTCCTAGAAAAGCGACGGCCTGTGTTGCTTATTCTGAAGGGTCACTTGACACACCAACACTCGTCCCTACCCTATCGCTCCAACACTACCGCTGTGCCACCATTGACTTGATCCGTCTCGGCTCTACGTTACGTTGTTGAACGACATCGGGGGGTAAATTCCTCGCAGTGCAAATTGCACAGGGACATTCAACTCGAAAAAAAAAAAAAAAGTGCGGAAAAAGAAAATGTCCCGACAAGCCCTACGATATGTCGGTTCCAAGTTTGTCGGCGTGTGAGCGTACCTCTGGGGTACAAGTATCATCCCATCACGTCACCAAAAAAAAAGTCATGGCATGAGGAAAGGCTCATTGCAAGGCTGTCCTAGGTGTGTCTATGGTGCGTCTTAGATGTCGTAGATGTCGTAGATGCGATGTGCGGTCG